ATCATGATCCTGCTCTATGATTCTGTATGTATGATTCAGAATGTACTGCAGAGTTTTGTAAAATTGATATGCAAAAGGCTTTGCATATTTTGCATTGATTATAGTTTTGGCAACTAATACACAGAGTATATACAGTACAGCTACATGAAGGAAATGTTAGTCTTAGAAAAATCTTCACTGCTTTAATATGCTGGCTTGCTTTGCTGCCAGTAAGACCCACACCAAACAGATTGTTTTGGGTTTACATTTCTGAGAAAAATGTACTTAATTAGACAGTAATTTGCTGATCCTCCATTCCCTCGACCAGTCTGTCCCATATTACAGTTTAGTTGGCATTCAAATTTATAGTCCATGTTTTTTTTTCCTCTAGACACACTAACACAAAGTAGAGCTACAGTATGAGAAACTCATCAATTGTCTTATGTTGCAGAGCAAGGAGAGGAGGGTGTTGTGTGGAGAATCTTACAAATAATATTATAGCTTTTAATCTAAGACTGTAGGTGAATTCTTTTTGTATTTATGTGTTTATTTCAGAGGAAATGTTTTGAAACTCTTGCACAAGTCTTCATCAGGAATGGTTAAGATATTTAGTAATGCCAAAATCTCAATTCAAAATGCATGACACCTTGCATATCTCTCTAATGGGCTTGTCAGTGGTGCTCCGCTGCGAATTGCTTTTCTATACTGTTGCTTTGTGCTATAAAATTGCCCCTACTATAGAACAAAAATAAAGCCTGAGAGGCACTAAGTCAAGTATGAAATTAGTGCAGATTAGATAATGGCGGAGATGAATACTGTACATCCCTATTAAAGAATCTAGTTTCATCCTTTCAGCCTTAAGAGACAACAATTTGTTTTCTCAGGTATTGTTCTTAATTTAAAAGCTCTCAGGTTTGTCCAGATACCAAGACAGCTTCTTTTCCAAATGGTTTTTCCACAACAGCTCCTCTTTAACTCTAGAAACCGTTCTCCTATATTCCTGCTGGGGTTTTTTAAAGGAAAGAATTCTTTCCTCAGCCTTTAAGGAAACAAGGCTATGTTGGCTAAAACAGATCACCTCTGAAAAAACTGGGAATTCCGCCTGCCAATCAATCAGAATAGTTTCTCCTCAGCTGAGTGTTGTGTCACCGCTAAGTAGCTGTTAAAGTGTTTTCTGACGCCTTTAGTAGCCTTTTCCTATTTATCAGCCTTATTCCATGCTCCAAAATGCAATTTGCTTCAGAGTGGTATACAATAGTTTTGCATTTCGTCTGTGAGTATGTTTTATACATGTGCATGTAAGCATCTGTTCCAGCTGCTCATTTGTCATGTGCAGACTTGATGGGTTTTGAGTAAGTGATGTGAGTTTTTGTGTTTAGTGACTTCAGACGATGGTGAGGCTAATGGGTTTTTAATAAGATAGAGGTTTAACTGTACTTTGCTGTAGAAGCTGAATATTTGTGCTATACACTGTGACTAGCCAGACTGTCATAGTCAATTCATCATGTCCAGTATGTGTTCTATGGCTTCACTTTCTTTATTTCTTGATCATATGTTAAGGGACATTTATTTGTCCCTTTCCTGCACTGGTCTTTTTTGCCTTTCCTTGCTTTTCCATTGTTTTCCTAGTGTGCTAGCCACAACCCTTGTAACGATTCTGTTTTCCAAATGTCTCAGTTCTTTTGCTCAGCCTGACACTATTCAGCTCCCTTGTGCTCTGTTCCCCATATTTCCCCATTTTCTCATGTGATTTATCATATTGGCATAGTCCCGTAGATAAGGTTTGACAGGGAGGGGGATCTCATATTTAGCCAGCCAGTCTATATGCACTGTACACGCAAATTTGTATTTAGTTGTTTATTACAAACTTGCTCAACTGGCCTACAGTTTTTGATACATTAATATTGAAAGTGACATATATGATTTGATTTGTTTTAAGGAAAAGTTTTGAAGTCATTTGGGTTTTTTGCGGCTTGAAACCCCTACAGTAAGTAATTTATTACTTTGCTAGATCTTTAATAGATTGCAATACTTCTGTACTAGTATACATAAGAGACATAAGCAACAGCGCAGCATGACCAAAATCATTGTGTAGCAACTTGATGGGTGCTGAAGTCAGAACAGAATGTGCTCTTCCGGCCCCTTTTTAACAAACAGTCCTTCGTTAATGATCATGAGATGTGCTTGACTTGCTCTTTCGCCACCCTCACCCTCTATGCTATGACTGAAGTGTACCATAGCTTCCTGCACATTTAACTTCAGCAAAGCTAAAGTTCAAGAGCTTATCGGTTATTTAAATTCATTTATCTTTGTAGCTTTTCAATGTTGTGGGCTCCCCTGTGGCTCACTGCCATCAGAGGTCGAGCTCGATGATCCAGCTGTCACACGGTTGAACGTGGGTTACAGTGTGTCCTGCTTGAGCTATGAGCAGGTTTCTCTGAGTGGAGTGCAGAACTGACTCAGCTTCACTGGGCGTATAGGTTGGCAATAGTTAGCTATCTTGAATTCAGCAACACTTCCTGTTTACCTACGTTTCCAGTGACATCACTGCCCTCCGACTGACATGAAACCTGCTGTATGTCTCTATAGCACTTGTAGCATGTCAGACATTACATATATTAATGGAAGTGTGGGTCAGAAGTGGCTGTTTGCCCCTCTTCATTTTCCCCATGTGGGTACTGTCAATTCAAAATAATTAAAAAGTGGTGAAAATAAACCACTTCTCCATCTGTGTCCTCTTCATGAAACACAGCGAGCAATCTAAGAACCATTTAAAATTTTGTGTCTTTAAAGAAACTGATGGTGGTGCTATTTCTATTGCTATTGGTGCTGAATTGTTGTTTTTCTCTTCCCCTCTTAAAGTGCCTCTGCACATCATGGTAGTGACTGAAGGGCTGTTGGTGTTTCATTCCTTCTGTTGACCTTTGTGAGCAATTTCTAAAAGCTCAGGGAGTTCTCTCAAGTTGTCGTACATACTGTATCCAGTCAGATCCAGGGTGTTCTTGGTACATTTTTACACAGTCTGCATGAACATGTATTTATTCCTTCAGCTATTTATTTTCGGCTTTATGCAGTATAGGGTCAAGAGAGAGCTGGAGCCTATCCTTTCAAGTAATGGGCATAAGGCAGGATACACCCTGGAGGGGACGCCAGTCCATCACAGGAAACACATTACAGACACACACACTCATGATCACACCAGGGCCATTTTTCCCTGAAGCCTTTTAACCTACCAGTATGTTTTTGTACTGTGGGAGGAAAGCAGACTATCTGGAGGAAACCGATACAATATCCACACACCCAGTAAGCACCCTGGGGATTAAACCCAGGACCCAGTGCTGCGAGGCAATAATGCTGTCCATTGCAGCACTGTGCCACCCACACGTATTTATATCACAGGTGCAGAAAAAAGGACGATGCCACTAGTTTTTGGAGGGTTGGTGCTCTTTTTAAAATGTTATTATATGCATTTTAAAGTTACAGTCCTGTAAAGTCAAGACCATGTGTCCATCAAGAGAAGGGCTATTGGATGAGGAGACTGGGAATGATCATGACCTCAGCTCTTCTGCCCTCCCAGAGGTAGTTCTTGACTTTTCTGTATTCATATGTTTATTGACAACCATCGTCAGTTCTACTTCTACTGTTTATCAGTGGTTCCCAGTCTTGGTCTTCGTGACCTGCACACCTGATGATTTTCATTCCAGCCCACCTTAATTAGGTAACTGAAGCCTCACTTGATCTAAGAAGTTGCTTCATTGCATTTGGTCTCTAGTCACAAGTTTGGGAATGCATTTCACTTTCAAAATATAATGATTAAAGATCCGACGTGCTTAAGAGCTGGGAACAAACAGGTCAAATTAATCTCCTTATTATTAAATCGATGAAGGTTCTGATTGTGTAATTGAGGGCTGAGCTGGAAAAAAAACCAACAGGTGTGTGTGTCACCAGGACTGGGAACCGCTGTTCTAGATGAAGGTCATGTTCCACGATCCATTTGGTTTGTCCAAGCAGGTTAGTAAGGTGGCACCTGTGCTGATTTGACTCCTGATGTTTGCATTACTAGTGTTGTGCTGTGTTAAGTGCCTATGCGAGTTTCCTTGTTAAAAAGCAATAAATTCTAATTCCAAACGGCACGGCTCTTTCTTTATGGCAATTCAGCTGATCGGCAAAGTTCTGCCAAGTAATGCTGTCAAATAAAAAGGTCACAAATGAGAGATACTTTTACAATATATCATGTTTATCTGAATTCTAGTGGGCTGTGAGTCTGTGAGCCTGAGCAGGCCTGTTTTTCATGGTTTCTGATGAGTCACATTCCTCACTGTGACTTTGGCAGTCTGGGCATTGTGTAAAGATCAACATTGTTTCTGACTTCTGAATCTCCGCTGTCACTGGGGTCCTGTGTTTTCGGAGTCTGTGACCGAAACTTTCGTATAAAAAACAAGAGATAGAAAAATCTGCTCACTAGACACTTACCCACCTCGGCCTCTGTAGTATTCCCCTCTGCATTATTCAAAGTATACATCCAAATTCTACTGCAGCCACATCAAATAAACTTTTCAATTAAAAACTGCTGCTCAGTTCCAGAATCAATATACTGAATTAATAAAGAAATCTTGGCTGTGGTTTTAGTATACTGATTTTTTTTTCCCAAGTGGAACACCTGTTGCTGTTTTGCTTCAGTTTTAGACGAGACATTGTGGTAGACCGCTCAGAGTATCTTGTCATCTGAATTTTGTGTAATTTGTAGTCACGCTGCATAGAGAAATAGCATTTGCCTGGTTAAGATGTGCTGTGACTGACCGCCCTGGTTCATCATCCCTTCACCGGCTTGGACACTCCTGAAGAAGGCAGATCCTCTGGCAGACAGATGGGGGAGAGACTAATAGTATAATTAAGCACCCGTGCCTGCGGTTCCTGTTTACTGCTCGGTTGCTAAGCAGTGACATCACCTGGTCCCCTCCTCCTTCACCCTAATCCCCACCCTCCCTCTCTCTCTCCCTCACTCACACACTCAGGCACACTCCCGCTCACATACACACTCCCTGCCAGTGTCTGGAGTAGTGGGGAAGAGAGCTCTTGGAGCAGCCAGCACTGTGCGAGGCAGACAGCATGGTTCCAGTCATCAGGAGCAGAGCACAGTGTCTCTTGATGTAGCCCAATTCGGCTGGCTTGCGGGGGGGTGTCAGAGGAGCTGTAGAGGCAGACGGAGTGAATTCAGGACTGGCCTTTTTTTTTTTTTGCAGGAAGGGTGTACGAGAGAAGAAAAAAAAGACTAAGTTTGGCCTGTCCAGCATTTCAATTTTTTTTTATTTTTTTGAAACCCCTTTTTTTTTCGCGGTGGGTTTTGGGGTTGTGTGGCTGAAAGGGTCGCATGCATGACACTCCGCAAAGGTGAGAAGACCACCATTAGCATCCAGGAGCACATGGCCATCGACGTCTGTCCCGGCCCCATCCAGCCCATCAAACAGATCTCTGACTATTTTCCCCGCTTTCCGCGGGGTCTGCCGCCCACAGCGCCCCCCGCCCTGAGCCGCAGCGGCTCCCTGCGCTCCTCCGCAAGCCCGCCCGCCGGGGGCCTGCCCTCGGACCCGTCCCGGGACGACGACGACTTGGACCGGGCGTTCGGGGCCGCCGCGGCGCCGCCGCCTGCCCCCAGGAAGGACGAGGAGCCGGACGTGGAAGGCTATGACTCGGACGACTCCAGTAAGTAGCCCCCTCCCCGTCCTGTGGTGTCGGTGCTCCGGTCTGTGTCAGAGGGGCAGCTCTGTCGCGTCGCGCTTTCTGTGTGTGCAGCAGCCCGTCTCCCCGCTGGTGCTGGCTCTCTGTAGTGGAGGGGTCATGCGCCCGCTCTCTGGGAGGGGGGCGAGGTCACCTCGTCCCTCACCTGCCCGTCGCTGCTCATTAGAAGGGTTTGAAACGTGGAATCGGAAGCACTCAGGCTGCGTTCTATCATCCCCGCCAGCATCTGCTCGAAATCTCACAGGTGCTACTGCTGCTGAAAAGAGCTTGGCTCTGTTTGACTCCTCGCAGGGAATTTTCTTCCTGTCTGCTGTTAACGGTGGGTAATCGCAAACAGCAAAGTCTAACTGGATGATCTTAATCCAGTCCCAAATATTTTATAACGAGAGGGGTTATGAAAGCTTTAAGACAAGGTGATTGATAAAGAAAGCTACTGAACAAATAGATGACTGCTGTCCTTTTTAAATCAACTTAATTTCTTCAGGCATTTCCATGGATTCCAGGACTGATGCTAAAGACAGCAGTGTCTTAGACGCACCTGCAAGAAGCAACAGTTCTTTTTCTCAGAGAAAAAGGAATCCACCTAAGTTTCTTCATTTTGAACATAAGAAACAGGCTGCAGGCAGTCAAGCTGTAGCCATTTCAATGATATACTGTATGTTTTCCAGCCTCTGGCTTGACTCATGCACAACAATGTGCATATCCTCATCAGCTCAGTTCATGTGCCTCCTTTCAGATCTCACTGCAAAAAATCAACTCGTGTCCAAACTATCTCAAGGTATTTTCGAGAATGTCCGTGATTAAAACTCCCTTGTTTTTCTCTGGAGAGGCGAACACAGACCGGTGATAAATGCGCTTGGAATACAGCCCATTTGTTTGGAGGCTCCCTGATTGTTAATTACAAAAGCCAGCAATCATTTTTGCCAGCCCAAGATCAGGGTTTGAGTTACGATGTGCGTTAGTAGTCTGAGCAGGGCCCGTATTTCTAGGAGTCTGTGTTAATTCTTACCCCTATCCGCCTTAGGAATATAGAGCAAATTAAGTTTTAAATTTCAACAAGAACAAATCATATTCATGCTCAATATTTAGAGCCTTTATTAGGCAGAAACAGATAGGCAAGAGCCCATTACCTTTCCTGGTAACAGAATCAGCAATGTTCAGCCATCAATACTCAGGCCTTCTGCTTACAATTGAGCTCCACTGTCTCTATTTATACAAGGACTCCACATTATGCCATCTAATAAGGAGATAATCTGTTTTGTCAATCTGTGCTCCTGCAGAATGTTTTCTCACAATGTTGTGCCATTGCAGTGTAACAGCTCTGTACAGCGACTGATGACACCTCAGATTGTAGCCATTTGTCCGCTATCCTTATGCTGAGTGTAAAAACTCAACAGAATAAGGTGTCAGAGGTTTCTACTGAAAACCACCAGGGAGACACCCTGCATTTTCTGCTCCCGAGAAAAGCATCAGCCCATGTCACTGTGTAGAATCAACTCTGACATTGGTATTTCTGATAGCCAGACCATTGATGAGGAAGAGCTCTCTTCCAGTTTTGCAAGCACCAGTGATTAGCACCTCTATTCACTATTTACATAATAAACAGGCAGGTTTGTGTCTGTATGTGTTATTATATGTCTTCTTTATTTTGTATGAACTTGTCAAGTGCCCAGTGTAACCATGCTGGTTATTCCTCTTGTCAGGGAGGGTACTGGGTGTTGGTGTTTTTCTGTGCTCTGATGCACTGTTCACAGGCACACATCCTATAGGACTTAGCCATCTCCCTGCTATTTCTCTTCCATCAGCACTGGGGGGTGTCTGCATGGGCAGATACTTCTTTAATACTGTAGCCAATAATTATGACACTTGTCATCACAAACCGGCAGTGGAGAACCACTAAAATCCATCATTAACAGTTGTAATAGTCGCTGTGTATCAGCTGAGAAATGAAGCAGTCAGACCAATTCTTAAAGATGTAAAGTACAGAGCTACAACCACAACAATGCAGCTAGGAAAAAAATGGAAGCAGGGAGGAATGTAAGGAAGCAGATTTTTGCAGATTAATATCGACCATTTAAACCCCTGACTAAACACTCATTAGTGTTGAATAAACAGATTCCACAGTTCTGTATGATAACCATGATACTGTATGATAGAATGTGGCTTGTGGGCTCTGGAGAAGACTTGACTCTGGAGAAGCTCTGGAGAAGACTTTCGGTGTACAGGTTTACTATGATGAACCATATCATTTTTCTCAAAGAGTAGTTGCTAAACTGAAGTGGTCTGCATTTTCTATTTCAGTCAATAGCAGCTTGAGGATTCCTAGATTCCTATTTACTGGTATAAGTTTGTAGGCAGTGGAGCCTCAGGTTGAAAGGTGTCTGGTGTTGAAAGTAGGTGTGAATGGTATTGGATAGAGTTAGTTTCATTATTATCTTATTTACAGTGCCTTTTGAAAGTATTCGGCCCCCTTGAACTTTTCAACCTTTTGCCACATTTCAGGCTTCAAACATAAAGATATAAATTTTTTATTTTATGTGAAGAATC